AGTCCCTCATTCTCTTCTCCAGTTTCTTAGCCTCCCTTAGAGGAATCCTGAACACAGAAAGGAAGTAGGTTGGCAAGTGTAGCCTTAATTAAGGTCAGCCTACCCCCTATTGAAATGTAATTCTTTTTCCAAGCCGCCAAGCACTTATCAAATTTCTCCACAATAGGGGCCTAGAAATTACTTTCTTTAGGGTTGGTTCCTAAGGGTAGTCCTAAGTATGTCAAAGGCCGGGAAGAAATATTACAACCAAAGCATTCTGCAATGGATTCAATCTCCCTATTCTCCAAGTTTACTCCAGCCAYACAACTTTTATCAAGATTTACCTTYAARTTGGAGACCCTCTCAAAGGTACTTATTAAGATCTTAAGGTTCTCCACTTTGCTTAATTCATTCCCTTCACAGAAAATAACAATATCATCAACAAACTGAAGGTGAGTTACTGGAATGCCTCTGCTCTCTAAGAGGAGCTAGGAATGATTGGAACTCTTTACAACTAAAACATCTATAGAAATATGAATCTAGTTCATTCAATTCTAGTATCTTTTGTGGTGAAGAAACATTCTAGGCAACAATTCAGTTTCATTCTAATAAAAATGGATAGTCAGGAATAAAGGGTCAACTTTAGTGACCAAATTGGATTTTTTAAATATGGGATTGTTATTAGAAAAATCAAAAGCCTCTGGAACATAAGTAAATATTTCAAGCATACCCATTGAATGCCCAAAGACATGGGCCTTTTTCCAGCCCAAATGGTCCATTAAAGCTATTGCATCTTTCGCCATGATCGTCGTTCTGCCATTCATTACATACAAGTCAGCACTACTTGGGAAATTCTATTCTTAATCACCAATGTATCATCAAAACAGTACAATTTTTCTGTTGCCTTATTCTTTCCTTCTATGGCATTAGGGAGAGCATTGAAATATATATGTACTCTTTCTTTCTCAGTTTTTTTTTTATATTGCCAAATTTTACCCCCCCCCCAAAAAAAAAAAAAACAGCTAGAGTCAATTTAGAAAAACATCAGTAATGGAGTTACAGAAAAAAATGAAAAGAATGAAATAAAATCTAAATAGAAAAAAAAATAGGAACTTACGTATATTCTGATTTTTTGGTGGGAGCAGAGCTACGACCCATCCCACGATTATCAAACGAACAGACCTCTATCCCCGTGTTGGCATCACCATCTCCGGCTTCGTCTCGGTCACTGAGGTATTGGTCGCCGGTCGTCCAGGCGGCATCATTGGGCACCTCTGCACCCGTGAGGCCCTTAATTTGGGGACCCCAGGAATCATGAGTCCCTGCGAGACCTGATCGAAGTTTCATGCAAAGGTAAAAAAATCCAGAGATCATTTTGAGATGAAAAAATGAATTTCAAAGAGAAAAGAAGAATGGGAGAAAAGGACGGAACCAATAATGAGAAGGACTTTGGTTGTTCCATGACCGTAAGTTCTGTAAAAAATCTTAACTCCATTGTTTCCGCCGCCGCCTTGGTATTTGTTGACGTCGCAAAATGGCATCCTCTCTGAATTCTTCCGCGGACGAGAAGATGGAAACGGAGGATGTTGCGTCGTTCTCTGCTCAATTTCAGAAACGGAAGTTGATTATCCTGTTGGGGAGGGGGGGTGTTGGGTGTACGTGCGCGTGTCATTTTAAGAAGCAGGTGAGTAGTTCACTGGAGCCACGTAGCAGATTAGGACTGGTATGATGCCAGTCCTATTTGAAAATAAACTGCAACGCATTAATCAAGCAAAAATATCACAAACAAGCAAGTCATCCCTTATGCCAAATACAAGGATTAACGAAATGACAAAAAGCACTAGTTAAGCTATGGGCTACGGTGTTAGCTTGTCTTTTGATACAAGCTACGGAGAAGTTTACATCTTGCTATAATAACGAGGAACACTCATGAATGAGGGAGTCAAATTCGGACAAGTCCGAAGCTGGAGCACGAAGGGTTTTCCATACTACTAGGGCATTAGTTTCAAATACCACATTTTGGATATCTATACTGGTCACCTATTTAATTGCTGCTATAAGGGCCATTATTTTCCCTTCTTTCGAAGTGAATAGACTAAGAACTGTGAATGTGTAACATTTCACGAAAGCACCAAGTTCATCACGTATAACTATCCCAAACCCATTGAGGTTACTACTCGTGAAAGAGGCAACATCAACATTACACTTGAAGGAACCAAGAGGGGGAACATGCCAATTACCGTCACCTTGGTGGTTAAGATTAATAACTATGCCCAATGGCTTCTGTATTTGAGCTTGCTTCCAATTGTGTGAATGTGATTCCCCTTGAAAGCAAATTTGCCAGACCTGAGTGAGTTATTAATAGAGCAGTTGATGATGTAGTAAAATTCAGGCTTTTCCTCTCTATAGTGGAGTGCGGATCTCCTTGCAACAACACATTATTGGTCATTAGGGGCGAAGCCAGGAAATTTTTATAAGGGGCCAAAACTTAAATGAAGTATGGATGTACCCATAAAGACAACCATTGAGATAGAGAGTGGGGGAGGGGAAATTTTAGATAGAAAATGGAGTGGGGGGAGGGAAAATTTTACATAGGAAGTGGAGATTTTTCTGAACCATAGAGGGCCATGGCTCTCCTAGGTCCTCCCTGCTCCGCCCCTGATGGTCATGTCCATTATGTGTACATACGATGATACGAAATATAGGTGATATAAAATACAAGAAATTCTCCTAATATGTGGTTGGATGAACGTGAGCAGCAGTGTGTTGTGGTTAGGGGTGAGAAAGAAAACCAAAAAACTGAATCGATCAAAACCAAACAGAAATTTCGGTTAATCAAACAGGTCAGTTCAGCTTTAATTCAATATTTAAAGAAATCGAAGGTATTGGTTTGGTTTCGGTTAACCAAAATAGAAAATCGGCGGTTAACCAAATTGATCGGTATACATATATTTATATATATTTATATTATATACTATACATTATAAATTAATAAATATGCATTATATATAAATATATATTTATAATATATAATATATTATTTATTATTTAAATATAATATCATATAATTCTAGTAGTTTATTATATATTTATATATTTTTTTCTATAATAAATATTGTAAATAATAAAAAACCAAAAAATCGATGAATCAAACCGGCGGTTAATCGAACTGGTCAACCGGTTAACTGATCGACTTGGGTTCGGTTACTAAACTGATAACCCCGGTTCAGTTTAAAAAATTAGCCCATGGTTCAGTTAAACCAAACCATGAGCACCTCTAGTTGTTGTTAGCAGATCCAAATACCTCTAAACGAGCTTTTTAAGAAACACATTTTTATAAATAACTAGCAGGGACCTATGCAATGCACGAGATTTGTTAAGTTAAATATAAATAATAGAAACATGTAAGAGTATACAATTGTTTTATATAATAATTAATAATCATCTATATTTTATATACTACTTTTAATATTTTTTTTACAATACAAAAATACAATAGTTAATTTTAGATAGGGTTGTTTATCAAACTTGGGGATGGCAATTTTCCCCAATCCCTGTGGGGATCTACCCCAAATGGGGTGGGGATGGGGATGATTTTCCCCCCACGGGGATGGAGATGGGGAAATTTTTATCCCGTTGGTGGGGATAATGTGGGGACGGGGAGAGCATTCCCTGCCTCGTGTGGACCCCGATCTCCACCCCATGGGATCCCTACTAATATATATGTATATATACGCATACGTTTATATATGTATATATGTACACATACGTCTATATGTTAATATTTTTAAAAATATGGTTGAATATGTTTGAATCTTTTCTAATATAATTGTAAATTTTAATTGTTTTATTTTTATTTTTAAATAAAATAAAAAACAAAAACATAATGGTTGGCATTATAAAGAATCATAGGGAGTGGGGATCTTCATGGGGATGGGGATCCCCGTGGAGACACGGATGGGGATAACTTTGTCCCCATTAGTGAGGATGGGGGCAGAGACGTGGATGGGGATTTTCGTAGGGAAGGGGACAGGGAGAGGCTCCTCATCCCCGCCCTGCCCCATTGCTATTCTGAATCAAACTAATGAAGTTGACCAACCCGATTTCTAGTAGGCTTAGATTCAACAATTTCCCAACCCGATTGGGTTGGATCAATTTCGCTTTAGCCATTTGTAAACTAATTAAAATTGAATGACCCGGCCATAGATATATATTAATATTTTATATTTTTTAATACGGAAAAGTGGGAAAAATCCAATATTTCTTAGGTTAAAATAGTCTATATCATAAATTTAATTTTTAAATTTAATTTTTAAAATAATTCCATTATATTTTTTTAAAATTAAACTTAATTTTTAAATTTATTTTTTTAAGTTTAAATTTTTGAATCAACCGACTAAATCGAAAATTGACCCAAACTGATATAACTTGAGTGACCAACCCCCAACCTGACCAAGTCGATTTGGTTGGCCAAACAACCTACAACTGAACCGAACCAACCCGTGAACAATAGTTTAATCTCCAATAATTATTAAAAATTTTAATTAAATAACAAAAGAAAATTAGATCTATACATAATAATTGAAAATATATTTTTCAAAAAAAACAATAAATAATTATTGAAATACAATAAATATTAACTTTAGTATATATAAATATATAAAAAATAAAGATTAAGTTTTTAAAACTATTATTAATAAAGAATATTTTTTGAAAGCTATTTTCTAGAATTATTAATTGGTATAAATGAAATTAATTATTTATTTATTGAAATAATATCATTGTTTAAATTTTAAAACATTAACTATTTAAAATATAGTTATGTTAAATATTTTGTTATTTAAAATATTTAGTTACTTAACTAAATATTTAAAATCTTAATCTATTTTTTATAATTGAAAGTTATTCAGTAACTATATATTATTAATTTTAATATTTTTTATTAAAATATTTAAATAATATTTTTTTAATGTTATATTTTTATTATTTGAATAACATTTAGATTGAACAATCCAAAAAATCATAATTTATATTGTTTGTGATGGATTTTCTAAAAAATATATAATTAATAATAATATGAATATTATTAAATTAATTATAATTATTTTTATCTTTTTAATAAATATTTTAAAGTTATTATATAATTTTGTTAGAATCTATATATATACTAAAATAGAGGGATGCCAGCCTCATGGCCTGAGCGTTCTCCGTTACTCGAGTGGAGAACTCTCAGCCCCTCTTATTTTTGCTTTCCTTGTTTCCTCATAAACCACCTCATCACTTCCTTCTCCTTCTTTCATTTCTTTCACCTCTTCATGCTTGGCCCACCCCCTTCACATTTCCTAAATCCAGATCGTGAGAGGAGACATTATAGGCAGGAAAACAGGGTCAACCCACTTCTGTTTTTTACCTTTCTTCAAATATCTACTCTTTCAAATATTGTATCCAGGTATGTTTTAGATTTTGTGAAAGAACCAAAGCTAGAACGTCTCTGAAATGCCTGGTAGAGACAGTATCTAGAAAGGCTGGGTTGGCTTCCATTGAACCAAGCATTTTGTGAAAGTATCCAGGTATGTTTTATTTTAGTTTTCTCCCTTTTCGTGTTAAATCTCATATAGATAGAGAAAAAATTCGGGGGGGCTCTAAACTCAGACATGGCTGATTTAAACCAGTTGGGTGATGTTTAAATCTCATTTGAATCTACTGTGTTTGTCCTTTCGAGTGAACATTGTAGATATAAATACGGGTAAAGAAGGTGATTAAAATGGGTTGGTACGGTTTGGGATTATACTAATATTCATATTGTACCCGGTTCATTTATCTAAAGTCACGTAGCTTAAGTTAAATGGACCAGGTATCATATGGATATAGGTTTAATCCGACCCATATTCATACCATTTAAACTTTTTATAATTACGCAGTATAATAAGTACTGTTTAAACTACAAATTGCTATTAATAATAATTATTAAAATTACTAAATATTAACAGAATTATTAATAATATCCGAAAATAATAATAATTCACTGTAACATTAAACTACAGTTAATGTATTACCATCATTTCATATTAAACAACTCTTAATAATATTAAATATAATAATTGTTAATAATTAGTAGTTATTACTGTTAATAATACTAAATATGGTTAACAGTAACAATAATTATTAATTATTAATAATTTACCCTAACTATTTTTTTTGATAAATTTATTTACTGTTTATATTTTAATTTTCTATAATAATTATTGATTCACAGTTGTTCTTTAAAGAAAAAAAATATTAATAATTATTAATTATTTCATAAAATAAGAATAGTAATTATTCAAAGTTATTTAATTAATAAAAATTATTCATTAAATATTCTTCGTGAAATTCTTCATAATTATTAATCATTTTTTGTTAATATTTTAGGATCATTCATTATATTAATAGTACTGATAATTATAAAAAAAATGTAGAAATATCCAAAAACATAAACTTGGCATAAAATTATCATAAAATAGTAGAAAGTTACAAATAATATAAATTATGTTAAATTACTGAGACTTAGCATAAAATTACCAGTAATTGTTGATAAATTATCTTAAATTTCTAGAAATTGCATGAAATAACCAAAATAAATTACCATTATTTACAATAAATTTCCAATAATTATGAAAAATTATTAAAAAAATATTATAAAATTTCCAAAAAAAATAGCACAAGTTAATATAAAATGATAGAAATTAGACAAATTTTAAATGAAATAATTAAATTAATAGAAATTAACAGAACTTAGCAAAAAGTTATCAATACTTTTAGAAAAAATGATAAATTGCCAGAATTTAGCAAAATATTACCACTTAATCACACAAAATATGGTAAATTACCAAGACTTGATAGTCATCTTAAATTACTAGAAATTACCTGAAATTATCAAATTACCAAAATAAATTACCTTTATTTATCATAAACTACCAATAATTAAAAAAATGTCATAAAATAGAAGAAATTTCCAGAAATGATCACAATTTATCATAAATTAGTAGAAACATTTACAAACGTTAAAAAATAATTTTTACATGTAATAAGTAAAATAATTAAAAATACCAAAAATTAGAAGAACTCAGCAAAAAATTACCACTTATTTCCACAAAATATGCTAAATTACCAGAAATTACAAATAAATTGTCATATAACAAATGACCAGGACTTGGCACAAATTACCAATACTTATTGATAA